CCTTTATTCTCTTCGTCTGCCAGCCCTGCCTATCCCTCTCCTGCCTTGCTATTGGCCATTCAGCTCTTTATTAGACCAATCAGGTGTTTTAGACAGGCACAGTAACACAGCTTCACAGAGTTAAACAAATGCAACATAAAAGAATGCAACACATCTTTGCATCATTAAACAAATGTTCCACTGCATAAACAAATGTAACACATCTTCAACTAATATTCCACAACACAAACCCACACAAGTATATTTATGTGACTTTTGACAAAGATGCAAAAAATACATACATCAGAGGAAAGATAGCATCTTCAACAAATGATGTTGGAAAAGCTGGGTATCCTTGTGTAGAAAAATGAAGCTATACCCCTGCCTCTCAATCTGTGAAAATCAGTTCAAACTGTATTGCCTTGACATAAGAACTGAAACTGTTGAAAGAAAAAGTAAAGGAAATACTTCCAGGTTCAGGTAAGGAGTTTCTGAAAGGGCTCAAGCTACTCTGGAAATGATGCCAACAATCAACAGATGGGGTGTTATGAAATTCAAAAGCTTCTGCACAGTGTAAGAAATAACTCACTGAGTGGGGACAGCCTGCAGTGTGGGGAAACCCCTTCACAGCTGTTCATCTGCTGTAGGATTGATATCCAGACACACCAAAAAGTCAAAAGAGAAGAAAACCAAAGAGTCTAATTCCTAGATATAGCTAGAATTTGAAAGAAAGAAATCAAACAACCCAGTTGATAAATGAGCTAACACAGAGACATTTCTCAAAAGATGGACTACAAATGACCAATAAGCATAAGAAAAACGTCTCCTTCACTAACCATTAGAGAAATGCAAATTTCTTGAGGAATGTTAGAAAGATGGCTCAGCAGTTAAGAGTGAGTATGTTTCAGGGGACCAGAATTGGTTCCCCAGCACCCACGTCAGGCAGCTCTCAGCTGCCTGTAACTCCAGGTCCAAGAGACCTGGCACCTTCTTCTGGAGAGGATGCATAAAAAAGGGGAATAGTTATACACTGTTGGTGGGAATGTAAACTAGTCCAGCTGCCATGGAAATCAGCATGAAGCATCTTCAAGAAACTAAAAATGTAACCCAGCTATAGCATATAGAATGAAAATAGTCTGACCTCCTCAGTTTTGGTCCTTCTGTTCTTCTTTTGGAAATGGGAATATTTACTATGTGCCACAGTATGGTGGAAGTATGCAAAAATTTATATATATCATCCAAAACTCCAGATCAACACAACACAGAGACAACCACACATCAGTGTTTATGGCAGCATTGTTAACAACAGCTCAATTATGGAACAACCCAGGTGATGTAAAATGGGAGAATGGATAAATAAAATGTGATTACATCATATATAAAATATATATGACAATATATGATGATATACATGCACAGTGGAACCTTTTTACATTTATTTTATTTTTTGAGAATTTCGAGAATGGCAACTATAGTTACATCATTTCTATCCCCCCCAACTCCTCCCATGTCTTCCCTATTCCCTCTCAACCTCATGACTTCTTATCTTCTAATTATTATACACATATGCCCACATGTGCACATATGTACACATAAATACTACCTGCTGATTCATTTAGTGTGGCTAATATGTATATGTTTAGGGATGACCACATGGGATTGCATAACCTATTGGGGAGTTCATCCTTGGAGGAGATTGACTCTCTTAGTACAATATAGTTGCCATATATATATATATATATATATATATATATATATATATGCAGAGGATGTAGGTTAGACCCCTACAGGCTCCCTGATCTCTGTAAATTGATTCTGGGTCAGTTGATTCTGTGGACTGTGGTCTCTCTTGTGGTGCCCCTGACCTTCTGGTTCCTCTAATCTGGTTCCCACGCCTTCTCTGCAGGACTCCTGGGCTCTGAGCTCTGCCTAATCTAAACTAGAATCCTAAAGGAGAAACAGAAGAGACCCAGATTAGCAGTCTCACAGATCAGAGAGTGGTTTTCTGAAGGTGATGTTTTCATCAAAATGAATCCTAAATGGTGCTTTTCTCAAGTGCAAAGCATCAAACATTGTAAAATATGAGCAGAAAAATAACAATGAGGATTGCTATGCCCAACACAAAACTAGCACAAATCCCATCATGCAAAGCTACCCACTCTTTGCCTCTGAGGAGCACCTTGAGAACCCAGCTGCCCTCCTGCTCCTCCAGCTTGCACTTCTGCCTCTCCACCTCCTGCCTCACCTTCGACAGGTAGCACCTATAGGCTTCCTGATCCTCACTGTAGCTGCCATTAAGGAGCTCACAGGCATGAAGGAAGAGGTCATTGCTGTAGAAAGAGCTCTCACACTCCTGCTCCAGCCTCCTCACCACGGTCATGAGCTCTGCCAACTGTCCCTGCTGCTCTTCCCCTGAGGCCCTGTTATTAAAGGCACAGTACCTCCTCCCACACTCCTGGACCAGGCTGCGCAGGCTGTGGTTGTCAGTGTGGGTCACAAACCCATCCAAGGTCTCATCTGTCAGGTCTTCCTTGTGGGTGAAGAGGATGATCATGTGCTTCATGACTCCTGCCCCAAAGATCTCCTTCACCCTCCTCACGGCCATGGTGTCCTGGGCTGTGAAGCGTCCCAGCTGGGTCACCAGCAGCAGCACGTGGGGGCCTGGGGCACACAGCAGGTAGCAGTCTCCAATGTCCTTGTCCATGTCTTGGTTCTGAGCCTTTGACTCAAAGATGGGGGGTGTGTCTACCACTAGGAAGCTCCTTCCCTCCCATGTGCCTATCTCTGCCTGGCTGGTCCTGGTCACGGACTGGGCTCTGAGCCTGGACTCGAAAGCTTGTCGGCAGAGGATGCTGTTCCCTGTGGCACTTTTCCCACAGCCAGATTTGCCCACCAGGAGGATCCTCAGCGGCGGTGATCCTGGGGTGCAGGAATCTTTCTTTCTGCCTTTGGGGTGAAGGGAAGCTCAGGTGTAAGAAATGATTCATGAAGAGAAGGACCCCAAACTGACAGGACCTAGTGCAAGCAAATGGGGTCTCAGCCCCTTCCACCACCTCACACCCACCACACCCAGGGCTTGTGGGATAAAGTACGCCTGATGGTCAGGGTCCAAGGCATCTTTCCCCTAGGGATTCATCAACGCAACTTTTACCATTTTCTGTCCAGGTCTCAAGTGGCAAGCCAATGCAGAATGCTCAGGGGAGTCCAGGGCTGGCTGGCCATTCTGGTTGTCTTCCCCTTTATATTCATCTCCTGCCACCCTCCCTGGGCTCCATTTTACAGGATGGCAGGGTTTTATCTTGGGGAACTTGCCCTTGCTTTGGAGAGTGTGACAGTTAGTGGCCTAATCCGTTCAATTGTCTGGTGGTACATTTGTCTGGCTTCAGGTGCCGGAAGGAAGTTTGTCCCTGTCTAGGCACTGAGCAGGGGTCCTTGACCTTTGAAAAGAGTCCCACCCCCAGCAGCCTTCTTACCTGTGGGCAGGGAACTGTTTACACCTTTCTGAAGCATTTCCATCTTTTGTTTCTAGAAGAGAAAATATACAAAGCGTGTTCGTGTTGGATTTCAATATAATACGCAGCACCAAACGCAACTCCTTGTAGAAAGGGACATCAAAGCAAAGAAAAAGAACTGCTGGAGTGGCCCACACCCACTTACAGGTGGTTCTAAATGATGCAAAGGAGAAAGATCCAGGAAATGGGTATGCATAGTGTGATCACATGGACAGACTCATTGTCACCATGACTTGTCTTCAGCCTACAGGCAGAATGAAAGTGGGCTGCGTACACACAATAACAGTTAACTAAGCTCGTCAGTTATTTCCTACTGAGCACATGGCTGTCTGGGCTTCTTTGGGAACCTAGTACTAGAGGATGCTCCCTGCCCCTCCCCCAGCATCTCCAAGAGATAAACACAATTCTTCCTTTGTTCCATGGCCTGAGCTAAGCTGAGTCCAGATCACAGGACTTTCTCTGCCCAAACTGGGAAATCTCCAGGCAAACCATGGCCAGCTGTTCACCCAGGTGTAGGAGTCTGTTGTGGGGCCAGGTTGGAAAGTGGTGGGGTGCACCCAGTAAGCAGAGAGAAAGGCTAAGTCCTGAGGCTACCTAGTCAGTGTGTGTGCTCCCGAGGTCACAGCTCAGTTTCCAGCTCAGTCCTGGACTGGAGACTCCTTGAGGGTATCTCTCTTCCAGGGCCCTTCCTTTCTTTCTGACCTGGTCCTCACAGGCCTTCCTTTTGATCCTTGTCCTGGCCCACTCTACCTACCTCCTGTACCAGGTAAGGGATCCACCGGAGAATGACTTCCTAGTTTCCTTCCATGTTCTTTATACAGGATGCCAGCTGAAGGTGTGGCCCAGATTAAAGGTGGTCTTCCCACCTCAAAGATCTAGATTAGATCTAAATTAAAAGGTTTAATTGAGAAAAAAAATCCCTCACAGGTGTGCCCAGCAATTTGGTTTTAATTAATTCTACATGTAGTCAAAATGACAACCAAGAATAGCCAACACAGGCCTCGAAGTGAATGTCTAATTACAGAATCTCAGGGTCTTTGGTGAGTCAAGACACTCTTGGGAACAAAACACTTTGGGGAGCGAATGCATCTCCTAGGTGCTTTCTCGTGCCTCTATATATGAAACTGGCCAGAGACTAACTTGGCCAGAAACACAAATTAATAAACAAAGTTTGGGTCCTTTAATTTTGATACTGGATGCCAGAACCCAGCATTTTCCCAGTAACTTCTTTGTCATCCATGCTGAAGATGTTTTCAGCTCCAGGGGACAAGCTGTGGTGATTCTGAGTCTGTCCTTGTGATCACATTACAGGTTCCCATTTCTTGGGTCTTCTTCCTTTGGGTCAGCAATTCCCTGTCTCTTGGGCTCTCTGCTCGGTAATCAGTCGCACAGAAACTGATCTAATCTGGTTCACACAGATGCCCAGGACACTCACAGCCCTCATAAAAATGGCTAGCTATGTGTCTTGGGCATGGGCTTTCACATGGAGACCTGTTCCTGAGGACCATCTGTCATCCTGCCCTCCGAGAGGTTTTCAGAGATGGTTAGTCTGTATCGGCTTGATTGGACCACTGGGCCAGCAATCTGATCACACTGAAAAGCAGGTGCTGCTGTGATGGCTGCGTGCACATCACTCCATAGCAGTGATTCTCAACCTTCCTAATGCTGCAACCCTCTAATACTTTTCTGGGTACTCACATGTGGGCGGACCTGACTGGACACCGATAGAGAAGCAGTGTCTTAGTTCCTAAAAGCATCAGAAACACGTGTTTTCAGATGGTCTGAGGTGACCCTGTAGGGTCTTGACCCACAGGTTGAGAACTGCTGCCCTACACAGCAGGCCTCATCCAATCACGGAAAGGCCTTAGGAGCAAGGCTGAGGTCTCCAGAGAAGAAAGCTACCCAAGACTGCCCTGGCCTGAGTTTCCAGCCTCCAGACACCTACAGGGTTCAGACGTTCTGCCCTTTCCTGGTCACGAGAGCCAGTTCCTTAAACAAATCTCTGACTGTGCTGAGGAACATGTTTCCTTTTCTCTGGAGAAGCTGAAGACCATGAGAGGCAAAGCTCAGCTCAAGCAGAGACGCAGCAGACCGGACTCGGTCTTCAGCTTTGCTCCGTGCTCTTGACAGGTGAGGAAGGAAAAGCAGGCGGTTTGAAGAAATGGCTAAGGATTATCATTTAAACTCAAGACACCGTTGCTAGAGCTGTCTCTGGGTCCCTTGCATGGTGGATTCCAGCAGGGCATTGGGGAGGTGCCCCTGAGCAGTGATGGGTAGTGCAAGACCCAGGTAAGAGGCTGGGGAGGCGAGTGACTTACAGGGTAGAAAGGAGCATGCGCAGCCAGCTACAGACACAGGCAGAGGGAGACGGCGCTGGTGTTTCTAAGCTAAGATCCGGGTACCCTGGAGGCCCTGTGCGGCTTCACACTCCTGTGAGGAGAACAAGACTTTGGAGGTTGGACAAAACCACGCTTCACAGCACTGCATGAAGGAGCAATGGTAACACTGTCGCAGCTTCCTGGGCACTGTGCCCCCAACTCAGGCTGATAGGATGGGCTCCCCCTGCTGTCTGTGGCCCCTGGGTGTTGGCTGACCAATGGTCTCTCAGGCAGGACTATTCATATGATGCCTTTGGCCGAGCAGCTAGTGGCGGGTCATTCCCCTAAAGTGAGAGCCTTAAATTGCTGCTGGCTCAGGATCCCGCCTGATCAGAAAGGAACGAAAGCAAGGGCGGGATCATCGGGGCTTCTCATTTCTCAAGCCTTCTTTTTTTCTTTAGGATTGGGAACGTCTCAATTTTTCCACATGTCCCTCTCCTGTGCTTTCTCTAGTTGGACCCCCCCCTCCCCCAGCAATATGAATGTCACCTTTTCTGTTTCCAGGTTGCACAGTTTTGCATTCTGCCCCCTTCGGGGTATCTTATCGTAAGCCACCACTCTCTTGGCGCAGCACTGTGCCCTCTCCCAGCCCACTGGGAGCCCGTCATCCACCACCCCACCCACCTCACACCCATCCGTTCTTCCGCTCATTTTCCGTAGTCAGTAGAAGGACCGGTGGGTGTGCATCAGCTATTTCCTGCCCCTGGTTGGACCCCAGAGCCAGCAAAAATGGAAGAGCTCCCCCACGCCCCTCCCAGGACATGCTCTCTGGCATGGTGCAGAACTGGAAGAGACTGGAGGAGAGAGTGGGGTGGGGGGGGGCAGGCCATGCTTTGAAATACTGTGAAAAGGTCACAAATGTTGGCCTTGAGTAGATTATCTTAGTCTCATTTGACAAAAGCAATTTGTCAAAAACACTATCCTTTCCCATATCCTTGACCACAACATCTTGAAGATAAATGGACCCTGATCAGAAAAACATGACATGCTGATATAAAGATAAACCACTGTGCAAGGGTCATGGGGGTCATTTCCAGGAAAATGACCTGGGAAAAGCTTCATTCTGGTTGCTTTGACTCATCTTTTTTTTTTATGTATTACTTTATCCAAAACACAAAAAGCAAATGCTTTATGTGAATAGATCAACCCAAGTGGTACCCTGACATCCTCTCCATCTTTAAAATGAAAGCCACTTCCCTCCTGTCCAGCACTGTGAATATTCACCAAGAAAAAGAAAAGTAGTGGGAAAGAAATAAGACTAAAACTCCCAGGGCTGGGGAGATGGGACAGCCAGTCCAGCCAATGGGTGAGCACCGGATTCAGTGAGACCTGTTTCAATAGCCACTATAAAGAGACCGGGGAGACATCTCACTCTCACACATGAGGAGTGGAGTTTGTAGTCTCAGAACCCACGTAAGAGATGAGTGTGATTGTGATTGAGTTCATCTGTAACCCTGGCCCTGGAGGGACAGGATGGCATGGAGGCAGGTGATCCCTAGAGCTCATCTGAAGTTTCTGCTCCAGAGCCTAGGGTTCCTTACTGCAGCAGCGGAAACTTCAGGGCAGTTCTGGGCTCCTGAGCCTGACTTGATGAAGCAAATGTTCCTAGGGGAGGCTAGGGAATTTCAGATCACTCGTGAGGCCAGTGCTCTATCTTCCTTCCCCAGCACTAATTTCCCAGACCACAGGAAGCACGGATACCCCGTCCTGAAGAGTGGTTTCCCGCCAGCCGGCTCCTCTCTAGCCTCCAGACACTTAACACAGCCACCTGAGCAGCCACGGGGAGATTACTTTAGAAAGTTCGCCATTCCTCTCCCTCCTTGGAAACTCCTGGCACGAAACAATCTCTAAGAGTCGACCTCCCCTGAGTCCCAAGTGAGGTATTAGGCTTGTCAGATCGAGAGAGAAAACTCACTGATGATCCACAGATAGGCTAGAAACCCTCAAGGAGAACCCTTGGGGCACAAGACACTATGGCCTCCACAACTTTTCCTAAAGTTAATAAAGAGATCAAATGCCTTGCCCTTCAGGTTGACACTAATTGTTACCAGTAGATTCAAAGGGGAGCAGGGGAGAGGGACACACACACACACACACACACACACACACACACACACACACACACGAGCTCTGTTACCTGGTGGGCGCTGGAGGATCTTTCAATTCAAGGTCTACACGCACTGTGGAGCACCTTCCTGTTCTAGGCAGCCTCTCACAATGGTTTTTAATCTCTTCATGAAAATACAAGAATTATGAGAAGAGAAAAACAGCTCACAAAATCTGTCTGCCGGGGGAAGAAGATGGTGTCTCCTGGGGCATAGGAAAGAGTGATGTGTACGGGTTTCTCAGCTGCTCAGAGAGCAACTGAAGAGAGCGCCCAGAGGAAGAGGTTGATTTAAAAAAAAAAAAAGTTCTTTCCTGCCACACCCCCGCCGCCCACACCACCAGATGCTTTTGTGAAGAACACATTCTCTACAGGACTAACAGAGAAGCATAGAAGCGTGCCTCCCAGTCCTCCACTTCTCCCCCTGGGCCAGGCAGACAGCACGCATCTCCCCAGCCTCACCATGCCATTCACTTCTGCCCTACAGCTGAGACTAAAGTGGCTTCCCAGGGTCCGCTGGGCAAACCGGCAGGTTTGTGCTTGAGTCAGGATGGCTGCCCGTCTTCTGGGGAGAACGTGGGAGAACAAGGCTTAGATTTCCTCACCTGGGCAGATCTTGTCTCCACAGAACCCACGGAGCTAGTTACCCAAGCAATGATAGGACTTAGGCAAACCACAAGCACTTACTTAAGGAATCCCAGGTCCCCTCTGCCTCTGCCTGCTGCCCTGCTGGGCTCAGGTTGGGAGGGTGATGCAGGTCCCCTCTCTGGAGAGCCTTGCAGGTGCCCCACTTCCCTGCATGTTTGAGTTCAGATAACTGTTTTTATTTTCTGTGTATGAGTGTTTTGCCTACATGTATGTAAGTGCCCTTTGCACATACCCAGTGCTTGTAGAAGCCAGGAGAGGCTGCTGGACCCCTAGAACTGGAGTTATCGACAGTGGTAAGACTTTCTTAACTACCGAGCCATCCCTCTGGTCTCAAGTCCAGATGACTGAAGAAAGTCCAAGCAGCAAAGTGGGGTATGAGTGACTCTGGACCCTTGCGGAGTGTGGAGAGCAGACATTCCAGTGCAGTGGCATTCATAAGCGAAAGCCAGGCTTGAATTCCACAAACCTTCTGTAATACAACTTTAACTTTTGAGATAATAGTGGGTATTTCATTGAACGAGTGGAGGCTTTGAACCAATAGGAAGCATTTCTTCTTTTTGCTGCTGAAGCATTTATTTAATCATTATCAATAAAAACTCAGGAGTCAGATACAACGGTAAGAACCTGAATGATCAGAGAAGTAGATAGGAGGTCACTGGCAAAGTGACCAGTGACCACCTATCTCTTTACTTCCTTGATCCAAAAGGCCTAAGAATCTCCTAAGCCCCTCCCCACTACTTCCTGTGTCTCTCTATATGTCCTCCATCTTCCAAAACCTCTATGGCTAATTTTGGTCAGTTAGTAGCTAGCTCTGTCCTCAGATACTAAGTAAACTTTATTGCCAGTCTTAGGAGTGTCAGAGTGAGATCAAAATATCCACAACAAGCTGCAGAATATCTTCTAGTCTCTTATTTTTGCCCATTAAGAAAGATCAGCTCTAAAACAACAATGATATTCATGGGTGTATCACAAAAATGTTCCCACCCGAGCCAACTTCCAAAGCTGCCTTGGCGTGTGTTTTATAAAAACCTCAGCATGGGAACGGAGTACTGCTGAAGGTGTTGGAGCCCCCAGGCCTCACTGGGCTTCCACGGAGAAGCTAAGCTCAGCAGCCTTAACAACCGGCAGGCTAATCCGTATATGTCCGAGCCACAGAGAGAAGCCTGGGGACCTTGAGCCCTGGACATCAGGGAAAAGGCAACTGGAAGGAAGCACAAAGATGCTGTCTTCAGTCTGCTCTCTGGGCACACAGGAAATGACATCGATCTGGGCCAGATGAAAGGATGCCTTTCTTATAGGATGTTCATATTCTTAGCTGGGTTTTCCCCCCCATCAAATTACAGGTGTTTTCTTGGTTCCTGAAAGCCCTGTGTTTTATAGATGTAAATATTATCTACCCCAGGTCCTGCCCACCCAATCCTCTGCAGCTCCCTCTCTTCCTCAAGTCGGAGCCTGTGGCTATTTGGAACTCTTTCTTGGACAATGTTCACTGCAGAATTCTGGTGCTGGCCTTCAAAGCGAAGGTGCATGCTGCTGCGAAGGAGCTGTCAGCAGCGGGGAAAGGAAACTAAGCACCTGCAGCCGCAGAGAAAAGCCGCACACATCTCTTCTACCAGAGCCTGGAGCTCAGAACTGTAGCTCTGTGCCGTGGAAACAGCCCCTGCCACCCCCATGCTGTTGTGGCTGTTTCTTTGACAATGTGTCCTTCATATAAGATTTCCTAGACAAATCCCGAGAGAACGGATGATCTGTCCCCTCCTGACACACACATGCCTGGAAATAATAAGGCGACACAGGGATTGAGAGATGGTGTAGTGGTTCAGAG